ATTCATAATAAGAAATTAAATTATTTGTATTAATTCTCATACTTTTAAACATCTCCATTGTCTGATAACATCTGAATCTTTCATGTAAAACATTTGTCATTTTCATAGAATGATAAAAGGCTTAGAGGGCTTTTTATGTTGCACAAAGTGTATGTGTTTGTCTGTACACTTTGAATTTTTTGCATTATGTCCCCCAAAATAGCAATACCAGTCAAATTTGAGTGTGTGTGTGTGTGTGCGTGCGTGCGTGTGTGCGTGGATTACAAAGATAAAAGGGAACAGACAGACAAAACACAGTATGAGACATGACTAGTTGGTTGTTCTGTTATCATTTACTCATCTTCTAGTTGTCCTAAATCTATTTGGATTTTTTTTTTCTTCTATAAGTGCAAAACAAGATATTATGAAGAATGCTAGAAACTGCTGGTAGCTATTGATCTCCATAATATTTTGTCTACTTTGGCTTTTTTACCCTATGGTACAGTAGGTTTCCAACATTCTTCAAAATTAAATGAACTTATAATGCTCTGAAACTTTTGCTCACTGGAAGGTGAGTTTATTTAATTGAGGAAAGTTTTTTTTTTTTTTGGTCCTGTCTTCACAGTCTTGTGTGAAGTGAATCAAAACAGCACTTTCAATGTTTTGTTGCTGTTTGCTGCATGTCACACATTCAAGTGCATGTGGTCCAAAGTTAAATCACAAATGTTTATACTGATAATTGTAAAACCACTGAACCTGATCTGAACCAAGATGCATATGTCTAGTTTTGCCAGCTTACTCTGACATGTTTTTTCAACTAGCCTCATGCTACAGGCTACTAATCTTCTGAAAACTATTGTTTTCCAATAGATACCCCCCCCCCCCCCCCATCTGTTTCAGTGCTAACTTTAATGAAATCTCTCTTTTTTATAGATCTGTTGTGCTCAGACTTTGATGAGTGCAAGCAGACACCATACAAGGCTCTCCTGTGCGTCTGTTTACAATCTCCCGTTATTGCATGATACACACATTAATCAGCAGCAGGTCCATCTGATCACCATGTATGGTCATCCATTGCTTGACTCAGGGGGAATGGATCCCACAAACAATATGAAACAATCTCCCCCACATGGACTATCCAATATTATTTTGCAGATGCTTTTATCCAAAGCGACTCACATCTGTGAACACGCACCCAAAGCAGTGGGTTGCCTGGGGAGCAGTAGGGCGTTTGGTCTCTTGCTCAGTGGAATCACCTCAGCCATGGTGTTGAGGGTCGTAAAAGAGCTGCATATCCACTCCCACCACCTACAATGCCTGCTAGTGCAGAGACTCAAACCTGCAACCTTTGGATTCCAAGTCCAACTCTCTAACCATTACGCCTGTGTAAATCAGTTACACAAAGTGTGTTGGCCATGAACCACTTGTCTGAACCTGTAAAAAGATTATTCTAATCAGCAAGATGTCTCTCCATACAAGAAAATGCTGTACCCTTATGTATTTGTACAGTAGATCTGAGTCTGGGAAATACCCCATAGTATGAGGGCCTTGATAATATGGTATTCTTATGTAATGAGTGCTAAAGCACTCAAGCACACACTCACGCACACACGCACACATACCATGTGATAATATTCTCAGAGGGATCAGTATGAGCTGCCAAGGTCCTTCAGATGGACCTGACAGGAGACCCTTTGGTCTCTCATACACAGACTCTCTCCATGCTTGTGTCACTGGAACACACTCTAATGGAGCTGACAATGAAGTCTACTCCCATTTGTCTAACAACAGTGAGCAACAGTCAGAATCAGACACGTAGAAAAGCAGGACATATTCTGTGAGATTAACTTGTCAGTCATTGACTAAGAGCTCTCTGTGAAGATATTTTAACTTGCAAGTATGAAACTAGGTAAAAAGTCTTACATTTAGTCATTTCACACCAATTAATTTTAGTGGATTATCAAAAAAGTAAACAAAAAGTGGGATAGTTAAATACGTCTATTGTAAAGTTGATTCTTAGTTTTAATAAATCTTTCAGATTATATCCAAAAAACTCAGTTAGTGTTTAGCATGTTAGATATGCACTGACTGCAGTTTCCTTGGCCGATTCCATTCTCCAGTATTTTGGCACGTGTGATCTGCAGATACTGATTATTTATTCATTCATTTTACTTCAGCTTAGTCTCTATTTATCAGGGGTCGCCACAGCAGAATGAACCGCCATACTGATTTTTCACATTTTTTTTAAGAACTATAGTTGACAGTGTATACAAACAAAAATATCTATATAATTATATTCAGCTTTGTTTTCAATAATATAAATTACCAAAACAAACATTAGTTTTCCCAACTGCAACAACACTAACCAAAAGTGTAATTTTACACTGTTCCACTTTTTTTTTTATTAAAATGTCTCTTCTACTCACCAAGGTTGCATTTCTTTGAATGAAATTTTAATATTTTCTTATATATTTTATATTTATTTTTCAAAATGGTAGTGTCCTCTGTGTTTTGGGGTGTTTACAAGGTTGTGATTAGCATTTGAATGGTAGGAAGTCTTTAAAGCAAATGAGGACAGACTGGAAAGTCTATACTTTACTTTTGTTTCATAAAGATAAAAAAACACTTGTTTTCAAACAGAGCTGCATAATTTAAAAGTAGCATTTTCAAGTTATATGCCGATATTTTTCTCATGATTGTGAGGTCAGTTTTCACTAAGATTCAGCTCTTTTTCTACCATGTTTTTCAGTGATGTCAACAGAAGACATTCTGTCATCATCAGAAAGCATTCACTGTTTCTTCAATTTATAGAAAAGCACTGTTTTGTAGTAATTATGTATATTCATAATAATAAAAAAACCTTTTACAGATTTGAAAACTTTATCTGTTTTCATCACCAATTGAAAAAAATGCAGCCCAACATGAAGGGTTGTTATTTTTTTTACTTTTATATAGCGCTTTTCTGGACACTCAAATTGCTTTACACATTTTTGGGGTCAAATCTTCAGTCCCTGAGGGTTGGTGTCCTGGAGAATTTAGCTTTACCTGAACCACCTAATTAGTGTCTTACTAAATATAGTAGAAACTTCCTGGCAGGTATGTTGAAGTAAGTTGGAGCTAAACTCCAGAACCAAGTTTGGACACCCCTGACATAGAGAGTCAAGACCTCAGTTAAACGTCTTATCCGAAAGGCGCTCACTGAGCAGTTAAGTGTCCCTATCAATATATATATTTTTCATTTATATAGCACTTTTCTACACAATCAAATCGCTTTACATATTTTTTGTGGGAAATCTTCTCATCCACCACCAATGTGCAGCATCCACCTGGATGATGCGCCAGCAGTCATTTTGAGACCACACATCACACACCAGCTGATTGGTGGAGAGGAGACAAGTGATGTAGCCAATTGTTCTATGGGGATGGTTAGGAGGCCAAGATGGACAGAAACCATTGTGCAAATTTAACCAGGATGCCTTGGTAAAACCCCTACTCTTTTTCATGGGATCATGGGATTTTTAACGACCACATAGAGCAGGGGTGTCTAAACTCAGTCCCTGAGGGCCGGTGTCCTGGAGAATTTAGCTCTACCTGAACCACCTAATCAGGCTCTTACTATATATAGTAAAAACTTCCTGGCAGGTGTGTTGCAGTAAGTTGGAGCTAAACTCCAGAACCAAGTTTGGACACCCCTGACATACAGAGTCAAGACCTCAGTTTAACGTCTCATCCAAAAGGTGCTCACTGAGCAGTATAGTGTCCAAATCAATATACTGGAGCGTTAGGACCCACACAGAGCATAGGTTGAGCCCCCTGCTGGTCTCACTAATACCACTTCCAGCAGCAGCCTAGTTTTCCCTTGTGGTCTCCCATCCAGTTACTGATCAGACGCAGCCCTGCCTACTGTCGCTTCAGTAAGTGACCATGAGGGAGTTACAGAGAACTAGTTTGGATAAGTCTAAAGGGGCTTTATTCTGCAAAATATTTTGCTGCATATACTTTATTTCAGTTATCACATGGCTTCTTGCCAAAATACTAATAAGCACAAAGCACTGTTCTGAGCTGTAATAGTTAATTAAATCTTTAAATAAACACAAAGCTGACAGAAGCAAAAACGGCTAATTGAAGCTGAATGGAGCATATACACACCAGCACATTATTCAGTCACAAGATGGCCCCAAATTTTCAAAAAACAAAGCTGGTCAGTTTTATTCTGTGGTTGTAATTTTGGAATAACTTACTTTGCAATGTCACAACTGACCAATCAGAATAATGTATTTCAGACAAATCTTTATTATGTAACACTCTTACAAAGAGAGTAATCAAATCCACCTACACACTATACATACAAATTTAGACTGTATTTATACAAGATTTTTAATAATTGTAATATTTATGGTTTACATAATTTTAACGATTACACATCCCAAATCAATAATTAAATGCTTGTTTAGGTTAATGATTATTTTTATGTTAAAACATTTCATCATAATACAAATTAGAATAAAAGTGCAAAATAATTCATAGTTTGTTTTTTTTTCTATCCTGTGGATCTTAATTCATTAAAAAACACCTAATTATTTCAAGGTCATAGTACAACTATTTTAATAAAATAAACACAATTACACCACTCTTAACAGGCAAATTTATAACAGGCAAACCAACAAACCAAGCTGTCTCAATAAAATCTAAAATATCAAATCTTGAAACCACATTACAGAAAAATCCCCGTTCACCCAGAAGAATACAGATTTTGGATTTGGATTTATACTATTTCCCACTGCTTTGAAATTAAAATCCCACCAAAGACCTTTAATCCTTTCAAAGAGAGTTAAGAATCAACTTCAGCAGTAATGTGTGACTAACACAACATTTAGCACAAACCTGCCTTGCCACAGCTGGACCAAAAAAAAAAAACTGAATTAATTAATAAGTTGGTTTATGTGCACAAACAGTATTTTACATTAGGAAACTTACAGTAACAAGATTATGGTTGTTAGATGGAAGACATGTGAACTCACCAGTTTGTGTGGGTGTGTTCTGACAGTACTGCCACAAACAGATTTCCCAGGACACACACAATTCTCAAAGTGCTGTTTGGTCTGCTTCGTAGAAATTAACCTTTCAAGTTGTACTCTTTCTGTTCTCTTTTTTTTTCTCTGTCTCGGTCTGCTTTAACAGTCAGTTCTCTCTCTCCCTTCCCCACTGGATTTTGCACCCGTCTGCTTAACCTCTGTTAAGTCCCTCTCACATACTGACACACACATGCACTCTCCCTCTCCCACTCACTCCACCTCCACAGGACTTCCTGGTTGACAAGGGTTACTGTGGTAACCTACAGACAATGTGCAGAGGCCTGGCTCACTTTTGGCTGCTTTCACTGAAGAGAGTTTGAATAGCCAGTCAGTCTTTTGTGGCCATAAGGTAATATTTCACAGCATGGGTTTCAAGTATGCTGAATTCAAAGACAAAATAACATGAGGCTCCTGACTTGAGTTTTTGGTTTTACCAATTTTTTATCTATTCACCCCATCTCTGGGTCTGGCAGGAACACTTTTAGCTCGGTTTAGCTTAAAATAGATCTCTGAATAGAATCAGACCATTAGCTTCTCAATCAAAAATGACAAGCGTTTCCTATTTTCCATAAGTTTCCCTATTTAAAGCTTGACTCTTTTGTAGTTACATCATACACTATGACCAAAAATTAAAATGAAAAGTTGCTGTTTTCCAGGCTAGGAACTATACTCTAAATCCAGAGCAAAATTCAAGGAACTTTGCTTTCATATCATGGCTACAGTAGGCACAATAATAATCCCCAGCACTAAGCCCTATACTTGCACCACCAGTTAAAACCTGCTCTTCTCCTCCATTACCTGTCTGTTCAGTCACATTCATTTTCAGTGTATTCGGTTGAAATAGAAATGATTCAGGATCTGCACCAAAGTAATATGCTCTGAAATGTCTCTCACAAAAAGTTGCAAGGTATGATCCCTGTGCCAGCAGGTGGTCACATTATACTCAGAGGTGCACATAATTGGTATGTGGAACAGATTGAGTGCAATAGAAGATTTGATTTAATTATTTGGAATTGATTCACGGGACATAGTAGATAGCTTATGCAACTTTGCCATGCTTTTGGTTTGAAAGAAGAAGTGTGGTTTCCCCACCCACCTAATTGATTGACAGCTGCGCATTAACATGTCTCTGTAGTAACGCGTACACTGTAACACCGAATAAATTAACTCAACAAACAGATTGAAACAAACCATTTTAGTTCTAAAACTAATCCTATTGAGTACTTTAAACTTAATTTATTTGAGTTTTTGAGTTCAATTTGAGAAAAGTAAAACCCAATAAATGATGAAAACTCAAACCAACTGAGAGCTGTAAAACCTAATAAGTTAAGGTAACTCAAACCGTTTGAGGAAACCGATCTCTGCACAACGAATCTGTGTGAGTACTGTTAACTTACTCCATTTAAGTTGAAGTAATGAGGTACGTAATTAACTCATTGCCTTCAACACTGAATTCAAAACTTTCAAATATCTCAAATAAGTAGAATTAACTTTCAGTAAGTTTTGAGTTAACTACACTCATTTCATTTGATATTTGACTGTTGGGTTTTATATCAACAAGACAGGGTGTGCTCAAAGCAACTGGGACTGTTACTGCTCGCTGTAATTATCAATCATTATCAAGTCATTATCAAGTGATCAAGAATGAGTTTTACAAGTTTAAAACTTTTCAAAACTGCATGTTTGTAATGAATTAGAGTGATTCTTCCGTCTCTATCACCACTGCTGCATATCAATAAATTTCTAAAGTAAATCCTAATTTGTGGACATTAAATCAGGTTTATTTTGTACAAATAATATATCAGATATCTATTCAGCGTTGTATATTGTACATTAGCGTGTATCCTGTCACAGTTGCCGTGCAAAAAGTGCAAAGTTACAGTAACTTTTTTTCACTGTGTGTGTGTGTGAACTTTATAAAGACATTGTGTATGACTCATCATTGCAGAAAGGCTTAAATTAACTTAGCAACAAATACAGAAAATAATCATTGAGTGCACAGGCAACAAAAAAACCCCACAGAGCAGAGCAGAAAACTCCAATATTCTGAATGGTATATTAAAAAATCTGATGGGTGTTTTGGGCTGAAACTTTACAGACCCATTTTGGAGACACAAAAGACTTATCTTAAATCTTGAAAAAGGGGTAAAATAGGTGCCTTTTAACACGTGGCTGCATAAACAAAAAAGTAGTTCCAGGCAGATCTTGACCCTATTACAGTTCCAAATCAATATGGAACATAATTTCAATAATTTCAAAGTCCCCAACAGTACAAAATCAATTCGAAACAAAAAAGAAAGGCTTTTGATAAGAGAAAAAAATACACTGGAGACATAAGAGTAACTTCTTGTGGCAATTTAGGATTAAACTATGACACTGAATTGGTGCTATATTGGCGGACTGAGCAGGTGTAAAGCATGTATTATGTGTGCTATGTATATGCCTTCATGTGCAGAATTTTAACCACCTACTGTAGCCACAGCATCCAAAATAGAAACAAAATTCTAATAAAACTTTACTGAAGACAACTGAACCATGCAACATTTAAACAGAAAAAAATATCTTTAAAAATTTGGTGACTTTTTTTTAAAAACATTTTCTATCTCTATATTTTCATAAAGATTGTACACATTTCAAAGGTTGTCCTTATAATCAATTTTTACACACACACACACACACACACACACACACACACACACACACACACACACACACACACACAAACTATGCATACAGACACACACACAATAAGAATCTGCTGCTTTAACTTTTATTAATATTGTCTTGCTAAAAAATCATGTACACTTATGCAAGTACTTTTAGCATAAGAAAATAATACCCACTGATTAAACATTGATGAAATACTCACACTGATGAGCGAAAACCTAGACATACAGATTTTGTGATGAAGGTGAAGTTGTTTCTTTATGAAAATTAGATTTGAGGATTGCAATCAGATCTTGCTGCTTTATTTCAGAGGACTAATGAAGATGGGCCATTTTTCATCTGAAGGGCAAACAGTGTATACTAAATTAACATAAGGTGGGTTAAACAGTGAATTACTTTATAATCTGGACTATTGTATGCATGGGCCCCATTTTTCAGTGTCTATTTTCCACTGGATATTGGGGAGTCAGCTTATTCTTAATATTTCAGTGGTTTGGCTCAGAAGGGCAAACCAGTCTTAAATGGTATAGTCTTACAGTGTGTGTTTGTGTGTGTGCCAGCATGCACGGTGAGGACTTTTTGTCAAACAGCAAGCAGTCTATTATTTAGAGAGAAAAGAAGAAAATACATGCACAACTGACAGTTTAAACAGAAAGCCATGACAAAAGTGCACACTTAATCTGGGGAAACTAGGGAACTGGGGCTATGTGCAATATTATAACACATGACATACAGTTGTATGAGAAGTCAGAATTATTAGCCCCCCTCTTTATTTTCCCCCAATTTCTGTTTAACAGAGAGATTTTTTCCAACACATTTCTAAACATAATAGTTAATAACTAATTTCTAAAAACTGATTTATTTTATATTTGCCATGATGACATTTATAATATTTTACTAGATTTTTTCAAGTCACTTCAATACAGCTTAAAGTGACATTATATCTTTTCTCTTAAGTTATTTTTGCTAGCTTATATATATATATATATAATTCAGCTGTGGCACACTAAATAATGTGGACTTCTTTTGCCAAAAATAAAGCATATTTCATTATGAACTATAGATGATAATGTTTATTTCATTGTAAACTTGCAAACTAAGTTAAATATAACTAACAAATCCGTAACTTTTAAATCAGTATGATACATGTTATGGCTTTTACAAAGAAAGATTCAAATCAAAGTTCAACAAACATATATCATACATTACAAATAATGGTAATTTTATAATTTATTTATAATTTCTTAATAAAATATTTATTTTACATATTTTAAATGTATTATCAAAGTGACTTTTGCTACTTGTTCAAACTACCTGTTTAAAATAAGTTGAAACAACACAATTTCTAAGTTTTTTTGGGGGGATAACTTAATGGTTTTATTTTCAATCTACTTACATTTGTAAAAACGACAAAGTTAACTTAATCAATTTGTGTTGGGACAACATGAAGATTTGTGTACACTGTAAAAATGTTCCAAATGATTCCTTCATGTTGTCCCAACTCAAATCGATTAAGTTAACTTAATGATTTTTGCCATTTTAAGTTGATTGCACATAAAACAGTCCTAGCAGCACATTTTTTGAGTGTAAGCTAAACATGAACTAAATCTATATTAATCTAAGTCTTGTTAAATTATACATTATTGTGTACTGGTAGAGACAATTTTAAAGAGAGGAAATAAAATAATATAAATACAATAAAAAAGTAACTGCACAATTACTTATGGAGAAAAACATGTACATTTGATGTTATACTGTTCAGTATAGACATAGTATTAAGGAAAGTTTTTACCAATGTTCCAGTTGGACATTATTCATTTCTTCATTTCATTTGACTGTAGATTTTTCAACCGTCTCTAAGCTTTTTCAGAGACATTGAGCATAAAAGATGATGTGGTTCTTACTGTTAATGAAATGACAGTATGGCAAAGAGACTCAACCATAAAACTGCCTGTTGCTTGAATTTATGATGTTGGAAACCTTACTTGTAAGTGGACTTTAGAGAACATTACAGCTAAAAAAAAATGCAGTTCATAGTCCATCTCTGTACATCAATCTCTACACTATAATGAAAATACAGTCTGAAATTAACTAATTATAGAGCAAGCATGTTGCACCAATACTTACAAACTTAACCACAGGCTTAGGGGATACTGTGACTGGCATGACTTAGTGTTGTGTAAGAGGAAATTAGGTTCACCACAAATGTAAATATTTACTCTCGACAAGGCCCAGACCACACTGCTGTATATCTAGCACTCAATGAAAACTGATTTTACAGAGATGCAACATGTGTGACAACTAAACTGCTAAAATGTATAAAATATAAGACCAAGAACTTGAGCAGACCTGAGCTCAAATAGGAGTACAGTGAAACAAATACTTGTCAATGAAACAATAGCAACAAAGAAAAGTAAACAAACCACAATGACCATAGAAATCATTTAAGGAAGCGAAATTAAATATTAAACAGGATTTGGTTTTCAGCGCAGATAGGAAGCTTTTGGGAAGCTTCTCTCTTCCATATTTATTACTGTCCAGTC